ACAAAGGGTTCAACATCACTTGTCAGACAAGACAGAGGGTTTGAAATCGCCTGTCAAACAAGATAAAGGTTCAAAATCAGCTCTCAGACAAGAGAGAGGGTTTAAAATCACCTGTCAAACAAGAGAAAATTTCAAAATCAGATGTCAGACACAAAGGGAAAGTTGCTCCGTGTTTGTCTGCAAGAAAAGTGGACTGCAGCCTCTTCCTCTCCTCTCAGTATTTAAGTCAGCCAGTGGGTGTTAGAGCCTGAACGGCCTGATTCAACATCTCCACAACCAGACTCCTCTTCACACCGAGGACGGAGCTGTGTCTGGGATTTCAGCTGGTAAGTTTATGTTTGTTAACGTTACTGCAGCTTAATAAGTGTATCGCGGTGAATTAAACTAGGATCCATGTAATGCTAACTTTAAGATACTTGTGTGTAGCTTTATTTTATAGCTATCTATGTAGCTAGCTAAAATCAAAAGCTAACTAAATATTGACAGTAACAGATGAAGCTTAGCTTGTAAAAATGTGCTCATCCATCGGATCAGCTGGTTAAACAGTTCACCTAATGTTCACTGTTTATGCTTATGTTCTCCTCACAGGAGCCTCTGACCCTGATGTGAGGAGGACAGACAAAAGAAAAGAGAGATGGGTGGGGGCACAGGACAGTCACAAACTTTATTGTTAAAAGTTTGCTGTCTTTCTCTACAGTGGAGGCTCCATGGTGGAGGTAAGTAAGCTGAAAAGGATACTGCTGACCAGTTAAACCTGTATCTGTTTTTTGAGCAATAACAACAACCATGTTATTGTTGATGTTTTGTGTTCTAATGCCAGTTAGGGAGATGATCAGAGCCCTAAACCCCAGAGAACCACAGAAGATTCAGGAAGCGATACAGAGGTACAGAAGTCTGCATCAACCCTAACCTCAGAGAATCCAGTGACATGCTGGGGGAATGTGAGGGACACTATGCCAATGCTTTTTAACTGGCAACCAGGTATCTGTGTGTGCATCAATCATCATCCACACCCTCAGAGCGAACATTTCCTACTGCTGGAGACAACATCAGCCAGGAGCGGGCTTGTTTGTGTCCAGAGAAAGCAGACATGTTGATTTTCCTGAAGAAATATTGCTAAGTGAAAAGGTCTTCAGTGTGTAGCAGTAAACATTAGACACTGATGTGTCACTTGTTTGCAACTGTTCTTTAGACATGGAAATTATTTGCTTATTTTTATGTAAGAAAACTGCTTAGAATGGAAAAATACTAGTTCAAAAATAAAACTCAAGATTTGTACTGTAATGTGTAATCCTGATGCATGCTCAATAATCCAGGTAGAAAAATCTAAAAAAGTTCAATCTGGTCCTCTGGACATTCAAAAAAAACAAAACAAAGCAAATCAACAAAAAAATGTAGAAACGTTTCGTCTCTCATCCGAGAGACTTCCTCAGTCTGAGGAGCTGTTTTCAGCTCAGTCTCTTAAATAGCACCTTCTCAGAGTGGATCAACCAGTTTTGCTGCTGACAACCAGAACCAGCTGATCACATGCTCAAGAAGGACCATCAGCCTAACAATGGATCATTAGCACCTGATGGCTGTTTACTGTTCACAGAGGGCTGAGTGATACTAGCAATCACAGCATTGTAAGAGGGGGACAGTTGAACCCGGAGGCTCCACCCCTGTTTAATGATGGACGGTTTCTTTTCACAAAGATGGCCTCCTTTACTCCTCTCTCAAACCATCGTTCCTCTCTGTCCAGGATGTGAACATCTTCATCCCTGAAAGAGTGACCGCTGGCATGGAGATGAGTGTAGACCTCAGAGTCCTGGCCTGATGATGTTGATCTTCTGTGCTGGGCCATCCTTTTGGCCAGTGGCTGTTTAGTTTCCCCGATGTAAGACTGATCACCCTCCTGACACTGAACAACATACACAACATTACTCTGTTTGTGCCGGGGGACTGGATCTTTGGGATGAACCAGTCTTTAATGTATTTTGGGGTTTAAAAGCCACTGGGACGTTATGTTTAGAAAATAAACGTCTCAGTTTCTCTGATACTCCCTCAACATAAGGAATGACCACTGGTCTGGGTCTGGGTTCCTCCTTTTCACCTGATGGCTGACTGGAGTCCTGTTTGGGTTTCTTCTCTGCTTTCAGGAAGGCCCAGTTAGGATATCCACCCCTGCTCTAGAGCCTGTTTTGTGTGGGATTTCTCCTTCTGCCTGGCTCCTGAGCTAGTGGGGATGCTGTCTGCTCTGTGGTACAGAGTCCTGATGACTCCTAACTTGTGCTCCAAAGGGTGATGGGAGTCAAACTGCAAATACTGGTCTGTGTGGGTGGGTTTGTGGTACACCTCAGTTTGCAAATGTCCTCTATCAGAGACTGAGACCTCACAGTCCAAGAAAGCCAACCTGCCATTTTTTACATCTTCTCGTGTGAACTTGATGTATTTAACCACAGAGTTGATGTGGTCAGTAAAATGTTGGACTTCCTGAGATTTAATTTTAACCCAGGTGTCGTCAACATACCTGAACCAATGACTTGGTGGTGTCCCTGAAAAGGACGTCAAGGCTCTCTTTTCTACCTCCTCCATGTACAGGTTGGCAACTGTTGGATTTCATGTTTTATCTTATTATTTTAATCAAGCTTGAAATTTCGTTATAAAATGTGTGTATGTGTCATTTTTTGAAGGGTTTTCACTACCTTACAATCATTTAAATATTAATCAATTACTTTGCTTAAATATAATCTTACATTAGCTAGAGACAATCTTATAAATTCACAATCTTATAAGTTCACATTTTGATATAATTACAAGCGTCTCAGAGCAGGTAAGATACTGATTAGACTCCAGGGAAGTGTCTCTGAGTATGGACGCTCACACACACACACACACACACACACAGACTGATGAACATAAAAGACTCTAGAACACATTTCTCTAACTTAGACTTAATATAGTTTGACTAAATAAAATTAGTAAGATAATAGAAAGTAGCATTTAATCGTTTAACAATTGTTATCAGTTTAGAGGAGAGAATCTTCACAGAAAAAACACCAGCGTTTGACTAACAAAGAGCAATAAAATTCTTTATCTATGGTATGTAACCTCAAGGGCATATCTAGCAAAGCAGAAGAGCCCCGTAACCATGACAACGGGTTGTTTAAACCAATCAGAGGCAGAGCCTGCTAAAATCTGTGATAAGATCCAGGGACAGAGGCTGCAGATCTGTGCATTTGCTTGGAGACTCATCTGTTGAAGGTCGGTTCGGTAAAATGCCCCTTGTATGCATACAATGTATCTTGTTTAAATGATTTCTGAATACTTGTAATTTGTTGTCCAATAAATCTTTTGAACTAAGGTGGCCGTATCAGCTGTTTTGAACACCATTAGTGGCGATCAGCCACGTCAGA